AATATGTTTTCCGAAATTATCTTCATTTGTGCCGTAAGTTACCTTCTACATGTCCGCTTCATTATTTACATTTTTCTCTTTATGGCTGTTTTGTTTCTCTTTTAGTAGACCGCCTTCAGTTTTGCTTTAAGGATGCGAAGAAAAACTTGTTTTACACTCTCTGCAAGAACGAAATGACTTGCTTGTTGGTCAATTTATGGGATGTAGTTTCGATTTAACTTTTTTTTTTCATGCAACAATCGTCTAGTGGATAGTTGGTGACATCACACACTGCAGTTGCTGCGCGTCTGTGCTGCGTTTGTGGGGCTGATTGGTCGTCTTTATCAAGCAGGTCTCCGGCGTAGTCGGTGGACACTATGGAGACAGTTCCTGCCACTTGATCCTTGGAACGGGTAGTCAAGTGAAGTTGACTTGGTCTCACGAGGTATTGTCTGGTGGTTCTCGTATTCGAAGAATTAAGGCTGAACTCTATGGAGCGAATTATGCGACGAATAATTGACGAACGTCGCCCGACGGCACTCTCGCTTTGCGCGCGACGTAGCAGCCAGTGTACTGATGCCACGCGCAGAGCAAAAGCCGCCGGGCCAAATTCCTTCATATTTCGCTGCATATTCGTCCCATGGAGGATTTGAGGAGTGCAGTTTTCTTTACTTTTTTGTCAACTACTGATATCTTAATTAAGCATTGGACTTCAAAATTGATAGCGAATCCACATTGTTGTCGCTTTTGCTAAGCAGTACAGTAATACTAAAGCCCTCTTCGAGACGTCCGGTAGGTATAAATGTTTCGATGGCATCGTCTATGCATTTCATGTGGCAATCCTATGTTGTTACCCTCTCAATGATATTGTTAAATTATCTTACTGTAGTTGTTTACGGTATGTCTTCCTCGAGTTAATCAGACTCGTTATTTTCATGCGTTATGGAGATTTGTGTTAGACACGGCGTTCGTGGGTATCGCTGCGTTCGATAATTCCATGGACACCAGGTGCAGTGGTTTCAGCCTCATTCATGTTGGAGGTCGATCGTTGGCCTGTTGGCTTGTATTACCTTTTGTTGATGCTGACATTCAGGTTCTCACCATTTGTTTTGCAAAATTGGATAACTGAATTATTTACACAAAGAATAGGAAGCTGCTTGTGTGGTTCATCGCAAAGTTCGGCTTCTATTCTTCCCTGATTTTCTTTCCCACTTCTACATCTTCCTCGTTTTCCTTTTTCACGTATTTCTCTTGTACTGGATGACTTTGTTAATCCGAAGAGAGTGGTCAAGGTCACAAATCCAATACGCGACACCCCATAATAAAGAATGCACTTGCTCCCTTTCATGATGCACCGTTTTCTCTTAGATCGATTTCCTCTAAATGTGTAGCCAGGTTCCCGCAGTACATACCCACAATCAAAAGTCGGTCTAGTTTTAGTAGTCCGAGTTCAATTTTGCTACAAGGGTACGCAGGAAACTTGTTTTCCACTCTGCAAGAACTTACTTGATTGTTGGTCAATTCATGGAGACGCAGTTTTTATTTGAGACTGATTTTCACATGCAACAATCGTCAACTGGATAGTTTGTGATATCAGAAACTACAGTGTAGCCGCGTCTCTGCTGTGTTTGTTTCGCTGATTGGTCTTCTAACACCTAAAAAAACCTTCAGAGTAGTATGAAACGTGTACAAACTCGCAAATGGACCAATCGCAGCGCAGGAGGGCGGAGCCAAACCCGATCGTACAGCCCAGGAATGCGGGGCTTTCTACCCCCTCTTCCATTCCATTGTCCAATAACAGGCCGCGGGTATCGATGGCCCAGCACACAGCGATCCCCGACATAGATAGCCCGCCCACAGGCCATTGGCCAGTAATCATTCGGAAGTCGTCGAGGTCCAGCCTCCGAGTCACGTACCCTTTGTAGGAATGAACTCACGTCCGCGGCGCCTGACTGACGTGAGCAAGGTGCGTGGGAAAGACAGGTAGGAGGGGGGTGGCTGTCAATCACAGCGGATGTCATCATTCCATTACCGCTGGTGACAACCCGATGACATCACAAGGGGATGTCACCGGGTTGTCATCGGTGACATCACAACTTCACCAATGACATCGCGTTGTGATGGCATCGGGTTCGAGCTGCATCCGACAGAGGGCGCTAGGCGCAATGAGATTTACACTGAAGCGCGGGAAAGCGGTTTTGCGGGGCGTCATTGCTAGGATTACATGACAAAGTTCATGTGATATTATTTGAATAGCTGGATGGTAAAGGTTTTATTCGCTAAAATAGGATTCTGCGGCGGCTGTAAGTCGCTCACGACACCTTATGCAGAGCAGTCCGACACTCTACCGCTATAGCCACCAGCACAGCGCTTCCTCAACCGCTTCACTCGTGCTAGTTATCCGTATGTCGCATGCGCGCGCAATTCAGATCGCGTGTTAAAGCTGTCCTGCTAGTTGGCTATTGTTACCTGTTTAAAAAAATAAAGGCGTAAATCGACGGTGTATGCGTCAATAAATGAACGCTATCAGTTGTTATCCTGTAAGCCGTGTGTTGACCTGAGAGCTGTCGACTCAAGTAGCATCCTCCAGGAAGATATGGATGCGTCATTGCACTCAAACCTTGTCAGTCGTAGTCGTGCTACTCGAGCTGTTGACTCGAGTAGCATCCTCCAACAAGTTTTGAATGCGTCATTGCTGCAGGTCATGTGACCAAGGTCGTGTGACGTAATAATATTTAAATCGTCGCGCAAATGTGTTTGATTGGTCGTATTCCTATCGCGTGATTTCGCGACCGATTCAAACAATGCTCGCGGATTCGTCACGTCGACGAATCCGCGATTGTTTACGCAATGACCTATATATAGGGTGTTTCACGAAAGGTGGACAAATTGAATATTGCGAAAACTACGCATCGCAACAGAAAAATGCTTGTGTCGTTTTGGTCCTGGGCCGGCGGCCTATCGAAGAAAATTATGAAAGTTCGGGATAATTATAGTGTTCATTATTTTTGCGTAATTAACTTTTTAATATTGTGCTTAAGGGCATGGTTTCAATTAGAAAAATGCTCAGCATCATTGAAAAACACTAAATTAACAAATTGCTGAACAATAGAAGGCAGACGCAGCATTTTACGGCTTCTGAAAAACCGCACAAATTCGATTGGTTTTTAAGTTTCGGTTTGCAGTCGGAGCGCCTCTCGGCCCCGCCGGCACCGCGCCCCGTGGAGAAATAGTCTCTCCTGCCTTGCAGTCTCTCCTGCCTTGCGCGAGGACAGCACAGCAGAGGTTGGTGGCACGATTTGTCCACGGGATGCGGTGCCTTCGGGGTCGAGGTGCGCTCCGATTTCAAACCGAAAGTTAAAAACCCGACGAATTTGCGCGGTTTTTCAGAAAGTCGTAAAATGCTGCGCGTGCCTTCTATCGTTCTGCAAATTGTTGATATAGCATTTTTCGATGATGCTGAGCAATTTTCTAATTGAATCCATGACTTTACCCTACCGAAAAATCCGGTATAACTTTTCGCTATCCGGATAATGGAACCGGAAGTCTATCTGGATTCTATCTGGAGTCTATCTGGAATTTAGGTTTTCAGAAATTATTCCTTTGTCTTCAATCTTGATTTCGGTTTTCCGGTAACAAATTTCCGGTTCCATAATCCGGATAGTGATACCGGATTTTTCGGTAGGGTAATTATCCCGGACCTTAATCATATTCTTAAATAAGCCTCTGGACCAGGGTCAAAACGACAGAAGCATTTTTCTGTTCCGATGTGTAGTTTTCGCAATATTGATCTTGTTGTCAATTCCTATATACATTACAGTATATAGGTTCCTGGCGCGATAGTATTCTTTCTCTTAATCTATCTCTCTTTCAGTATCCCAAACATATTTCGTTTTCGATGCGCTTTTAATGCTGCGTGATATTTTCGGAGTTCCGTTTTCATTTTTGTGGGTTTCTTTGTAACACTACTGTAATTATGTAATTAGACAAGTTAATGTTTCCTCGACAGTATACGGATAATAATGCGCACGGTAGCAAGTTGAAGAATAACACACACGACGTAAAAATTTATGCAAACACAATACGGCCATTTTGACAATATTTAGATACGTTTAGTGTGGTAATTCATTTAACAGTTAGAAAAAAACATAAATGTTTGAAACATATTTTAATTTGGAGCTTGTGTTTCGGACTGTTTTACGACGATGCTACCACTCCCTAGCTTAAAGGCGAGTCGCTAGCGGGTTTTCCATTCTAACGGAAGCTTTGGACCTCAAATACCAATACAAGATTATATATATGAGAAAATGACGCGGATAGAAAAAAAAGAAACCTTGACGAGCGAGAACTGAAAATAAGGGTTTAGTAGGCGACATTGTGCCAGAAACCAAGAGAAACATTGAGGTTCGAAGCAAAAGTCGCGGCGTCGGCGTGACAGCTCGGTTATGCAAGAAAGTGCGTGAGTGAGATTGTGCCTCGAAGTCGTGAGAGAGTCTGAGAGAGTCGGCAGGGCCACGGTCAGCTCCTTGTTTACTACACTCGGCATCTCGAACATTCAACCAATAGTTCATTTTAGCGTAAGTCAAAACGCAGCCGACGCTACGAGTAAATTGAACCGATCAAGCAAACTCAAAAGCGCAGGTCACAAGTCCTTTACTGTTTGATTGGTTCAGCCATGATAGACACGTACAGAAAGATGAGGAACACCATGATGCTGCGCTTTTGACGCTGTCTGATTGGTTCCATCAGCTAATAGCGTCGGGCGCTGCGAGACGTAAGATCAAACAGAATATAGAATGTTTGGATGTGAGCTACGGCGAGACTGGCTAGGCAAGGCTCTTTTATCAATATGGTTTACACTCGTGGTAAGAGTAACCACGAATCTTCTAGATGTACGGAGGACGGTTCCTTCTATAGTATAATGGACGCGTCAGTATTTTATGTGCACTTTAGACATTCTTATATTATAGATATACCAACAAAATCTTATTAAATAGGCTCATAACGTTACATTGTTTTAGGATTATGACCGGATGAGTATCTCAAATTGTTGGGTGACTTGCAAGCAAGGCTCCAATATGTTCATGTTACCACATGTTGAATGCCAACGAGTCCTGGGATCTGTAAGTCACTTTTTAAATTATCTTTTTACTTTGCGCACTTTGAAATGCAAGTTATCGTTTGGGTCTCTCTCCTATATTAGATGCATTAAGGATTTTTACCTTTGATTAATATTTTCTTCTTTTTCCTCAAGGATGATTTAAACATGGCGTATTTTCGATTTACTCCGAAGTTAGAACCACGTTAGAATCACTTAAATGTATTTTGACAACCCCACATTTTCTGATTTGAGTTGTGCGTTAGTTATGCACGTCGGCGGCCTCCGTTTGCAAACGCGTCGTTTCGTGAGAGATGGAGCCACTCATGCAACTGACGCCTAGACTACACGCACCAGCCTCGGCGGCGTTTGTTGCTTGGTCGTCGCATAGAGGTTGCTGCTGACGAATAGGCGGCTGCAGATCGTAATGCGTCCATAAACTGAAGGAAAAGAGGAGACAAGTTTCTTTGATTTAGTGGCGAGACCATTGGCTTAGAGATACGAGTTGACTGAGCAAATTTTGTCGGTAATTTTGCGTGAGCGAGAAAGGGAAGGTTAGTCAAAAAACTTGAGGAGTCTTTTAGCGACGGTGATCTTTTGACGTATAATTAGGCATAATGGTCATTATGGTGTCTCAGACGTGCCTTCATTAGTTGTAAAGCAGCATTATCCAAGATTCGGTTGAGACGCTTTCTGAGGGCCGGATGTCGGTACTATTTAGGAACAACAGTACAATGCGTTAGAAAGCGGGATGCCACTTTCGGCCGTTTATCTCTCACAATCAAGCGCGCTTGACGAGTGTTGTGAAGACAAAGGCTGTGCGCCGAAAAATTTGTCATGTAAAGCGTCTCGCGGTCTGGGATGCGTTTAAGAAAAGAAAAAAATAACACGTGTTGTGTGCATGCGCGAGGTATTAACGCGGCGGTGCTCTAGTTCATCTTGCCCTCGGCTGTTCTTTACATACCACTCGTTCACACGACATGGTGGCAGCGGTGGCATTCGGCCACCGGGCAAAATCGTCTCCGAGAAAGTTCGAAGCACCAGAGTTTGAGGAGGCCGAACGAGAACAGTAAAATGTTTCACCTGGCCAGCGCCATCAACGGGAAGAGTGACGGCTTCGGCACATCTACCTACCAAGCGACTAGCGTCCAAACGAACAGCGGTCCTCCTTTTCTAAAACCCTTCGCGGTCGAGCTCCCGGGAAAGTTTGATTTCAGAAATCGCCACGACTGGACAAGGTAGATCACTCACTGGAAAAGATACCGGAGTATCTCTGGACTCCTTCAAAGGGACGCCGCGACACATGTAAGCACATTGTTGTAAGCCATGGGGAGACAGGAGGAAGACGTTGTCACGTAACTCCATCTACCAGAAGCAGAGCTAAATTACTACGGCGTAGTGAACAGCAAGTTTGAAGTACACTTCATTTTCCGCCTAAACGTCATCTTGTAAAGAGGGAAATCTGACACGACGAAGCAACAACCCCACGAGACAGTGGAGGCCTTCTGTACGGTCTTATAGAGTTCAGCGGACTCCTGCGACTACGGACTACTTCGCGAGCGGCAAATCCGTGGTCGCATCGTCGTAGGTCTTCAGGACACGAAGCTGAGCGAAGAGCTCCAGCTTGACGCGAAGCTCACGCTTCAAAGTGCGACAGCATCAGCGCAGTCTTTCGAGACCGTGAAACGAGAGCAAGCGGAGCTCCACAGCGATAAGACGGAGTTCAGGGAAATCGAGGAGCTCCGTTAAAGGTACCAAAAATAGAAAGGCAAGAAAAAGGCACACGCTCTCGGGGTACATCAAATCATTATGGAGATTCTAACAGTGCGGCATGGAAATGCCGATGGTGAGGCAGTTCGTGCAAACATAAAAACACAATGCGCTGCAAGAGGCCAGAAATACAACGCTGGCAAAAGGGTAGGACAATTTGAGAGCCTATGGTTCTCCAAGCTTGCAGCAGGGTCTCACATGTGACAAGTGCACAGACAAGGTCTGAACGAAGTGTTCCTGGGTGCACTTGTACACGCACATAGCGGAGAGTTCTGGTACATCAAAGCAAAAGTCAACAACCATGAGATCACATTCAAGGTGGACACTGAGGTTGATGTTACCCTATTGAAAATAATTCTAAAGGGCCCATCAGCCTTGAAGGATTATGGGACCGCACAGGCCTTCAAAACCCTTCAAAACTACCCTTCAGGTATACCCCTCAGAAAAAACCCTCCAGTCCCACAGACCTTCAACCCAAACCCCTTAGCCCATCAACCCTTTAGACGCCCAAATGACTGTGAACCATAGACAAAAATTCAGTTCAAAACGTTATTGAAAATTTATTGCGGTCATTGAGTTTGATATGCGCATTAAAACTAAAAAAAGCGATAAAAACCAACGCTTGTTCAAATCCGGGCGCCAGCAGCTGTCGAAAAAGAGATCATATCAAATAGGAACAACTAACTTCTTTAACACAACGAAAAATATCTTTCAAAGTACTCACAATGCCGTTGGGTAAATTCCTGACGTACGGTAGTTCAGCTAATAAAACGGAGCAGGTGCACCTCACGTACACATACACAGTCTCAGTAAGCACGTTTAGCGAAAACCACGAACTCGCAAGCAGATCCCGTCACCGTTGAGAAATTCCGAGCACAGTCACGGTTTCGTCCACGATGTCGTCGGAGCGGCGTTTTCCGCGTATTTTTCGCTCGCTGGATGCTTCTGAGGCCGGTCGGACGAAGAGGCGCAAGGAACAAGGCGGGACAGCGGCCGTCATCCACCGTCCCAGGATGCCAGGACCCAAAGTGCTATGATCCCGGTGCACAGGCACTGCGAGTAGACCGACACCGGCCACCATCTCCTTGAATGCGCTGAACACGATGGTGCTCGAGCGGTGCTGAAGGCGGCCAACGCCGAACTGGGGTTCACCTGCGGAACCAAGGAAGAAACGGCACGGATTAAAACAGACCAAGGAGCAAGCCCTCAAAGCAGTGCTTACCTTTCTGGATGTAGGAAAACGGTCCGTTCCAGATCTCCATGGCGGTAAGAAACACACCGCCCACGAGCGGAAAGAAAATGGCTATAGCGGCCTCCTGACTTCTTCGGCTTCCTCATACCACTCTCTCCCACCGACCATTGGAGAAGCGTGCTGTCCGGAACTGGCGGTATTGCACCCTCTCCCCATTGCCGGGCGGAGAGAAGCGCAGTGTGTGTGTGTAGGCATTGTAAAAGGGGGGGGGGGGATTTGAGTTGCCTGTTCGTGTTTTTGGCGACGACGAAAAAGAGAGGACTTCCGACTCTGGTAAAAAGCAAAATGGTTTTGTTTATTTTTTTTTCCTTTTTGTGGACCGTCCCCCGCGGGGAAACCGGTTCCCGGCACGAGTCGCTGCCGCTTCGCCCTCGGAATCTCCCCAGCGTCCCTGAATTTGGGCAACGCGCTGCTCTCGGCTTGCCCTTTTTTATTATTATTAGTGCAACAAGTAAAGCTTGTTCGCCTCAAAACGCCGCTTGGCCAACAACACTCGGCCCGCGCCTTGTCGATTCTCCACATGGGGCGATCGAACCCGGGTGTTCCGCCGCCAAGGGGGCAACCCCCTTGGCGACGGAACACCCGGCCAGTGACAGACGGGTCGAGGAGCCCAGTTGTGTTTGATAGAAGAGCAGTAATAAAAAACTCACCGTACACACATACGATCGACATTCTCCAGATAATTATTTGTTTTCCCTTTGTGAACAATACGTAGCTATGTTCTAATTCTGCGACATGTATTTTCTCCACCTAGGCCGTGTCCCCACAGACATCTCAAGCAGCCTGAAAGTTTTCCCGACCCCATTAGAAAAGTCCTTGACAGGCTTTCAGACATTTCAAGGCATTGTAAAGGGGACTTCAGACATTTCAAGAGAGCCTCTGACGGGGCCAAGGAACCCACCAGGAAATATCGGTGCACCCTTCAGACATTACAAGAATTCCTGAAGTTCCCTTCACACCCTTTAAAGAATTCCTGAAGTCCCTTCAGAGAGCGATTTTCAATAGGGTATCGCCATTCCTCCTAGCGAGTACGAGATCAGAGAGATAGCGTAACTGGAGCCAGCCGGAAAATATCTTCGGGGGGCAGGCGACTCGCCGTTGACAACACTCGGGAACTTCCAGGTGACGATAACTTCTACCGGCAAAACAACGAGAGAAACTGTCTACAGATAGGAAAGACTCCGACATCCTCTACTCGGTCTTCCGGCGATTTAAGCTCCGCAAGTACTGTTAAGCCTAAACAAAATCAAGGCTGACAACCAACTGGAGCATGATCGCGTACTTACCAAGTACCCATAAATATTTCAGAGAGTGGGGAAGATGAAGGTACTTTATACCATCTCTCTTTACCCAGATGTTGAGCCTTTCGCCATCACGTACCCCAGACGAGCACCCATCGCACGTCTGCCCCGAGTAGAGCTGAAATTTAAAAGAATGCAAGAGATAGACGTCATCGAGAAACTGGAACACGTCACAGTCTGGTACCTACCCATGGTGGTGGCCAAAAAGCAAGAAGCTCTCCGGCTCTGTGTGGACTATACGCAGTAAAACTAACAGATCGTACGGGGACGAGTCATCATGCCGACGGTGGAGGAAAGCCTAGCCAAACTCACAGGATCGACTGTCTTCAGCAAGCTGGATCCTAGAAAAAACTGAAAGGCGAGTGTAGAAAATTTATTCTACGAAATTGACTACGTCATAGGAGAAACCACAACCCTGCTGACGGGCGACCATCCTCGGTTACGCCGTCAAAGACCCGAGCGATCATGCACTCGTGCACCACAAGTACCAACCATACGGCAGTGCAAGCGCTCCCGTCGCTTGCGCTGCGCAACAAAAAAAAATATAAAAAAAGTATTTGTTCTTTAACGTTTAAAAACATAATATTTTTTTTAATACGCGGAAGAACTTTTAGTGATGAGAACAAGGGGGAATTTTGTTTTGTGTTTGAATGAAAGTAAGACGGTTTTTCTTTATCCTTCGCACGTAAAAAGAGAAAAAGC